GCGTTCTGGTATCTCGGCATTTTGCTGCTTCTGGATACTTGGGTGAGGAACAAACCCAGCTCAAGCAGCTTCTTGAATCTCTTTCTGAATCTGGACGAGTGATATCTCTTCATGACGACTGGCTCTCGAGAGCGCAGCAAGCATCGCAATGCGTTTGAGTTGATATTTTCAGGTATAGACAAAAGTCAGGATAGAAATGAGATAATGAATATATGTTTATACAACTCAGTCCGGTCCCACAGTGAGCGCGTTGTCAAGTGTCCGGTCACCGTTGAATGGTGAATTGATCAGTTCCCTCAGTTGCGCCGAGTGAGACTTCTCACTTGCAAGTTCCGGTCAGTTAAACACATACTATGAGAACCTCAGAAGGACTGTGCCTCAAGCATTCCAATGTGAGATGCCTGTGTCAGTGAACTGCACATGGGATCGCTTTTCCTCAGTTTAAGGCCAGTCAGTCTCCAGAGGCCTGTGAGTACTCTGTGATTTCTCGCCCTTCTGGACAACACTAACAGTACCAAGGCTCTACAGGTTGACCAGGTCAATAATGATTTCAAGCCTGACCATCGCTGCTGTCCTCCTCGCAGTGCTCGGATTAGTCGCAATCGGCGTGGCTCTCACATTCAAATGGCGAGCAGAAGTCAGACGGAACCTACGCCTACAACGAGAAGAAATACGACAGAGAGATGCCCATGCCATCGCAGCGCAACTCTTATCAGCAAGACAAGAACGAGGAAGAAGAGCAAGGTCGAGATCAGCGGCTCCAAGACCGTCAATGCCAACTAGAACGAGACGAAGATCGCGACGAGTCTCACCCATTGGCCGACCTGTACAGAGAAACGAGGTCAGGAGGTCTACGACAAGGATAGAGAATACTGTGCATCAGCAACAGCAACAGCAAAGGCCATCAACTCCCCCACCTCCTCCTGCTGGTGCTCCTCCTTCATCTCCTGCTCAACCGGCAGCGCCGCCGTCCTCTCCTCCTAAACCCTCTTCTCCAGTGGCAGCAGCGACAGATGATGAATGGCAGAATAGCGATGCACAGCCAACTACGCAGGAAACCCGGGGAGGAGCAGAAGGACAATATGACCCATGGGCAGCGAGTGACGCAGCACAAGCGCAGAACTCTCAAGGTCAAACTGAGGGCGGATGGAAAGCCAGTGACGCTTTCGCTCCAGCACAGGACACTCAGGGACAGTGGTCAGGGGATGGGAAAGCTGGCGACGGTACAACTACGAAGACGACCGAGGAAGCAAAGCCAGCCGAACCAGAGGCTACCTGGTAGATAGTAGCGTTATTTACAGTAGTTCATTCATAGGGCAATTGGAGAGATCAAGACCAGATAAATGACGTGGTTGGTGGTTCGGTTTGTTCCCGAGGCGGTGACGTTGTAGTAAAAGGAACTCCCCCGCGGATCTCCAGGCGGTGACTTTCCCAATGCATCTTACTCCTCTCCACATACAGCATCTAGCTCTCACTCTGGATCCATCAGCTTTGATTTCTCTTCTCTATTGATTTATCCGATGCTACTGTCTTCTCTGAACTGATCCTACCCGCTGTATGTTCTAGATTTGTTTTTTTGCAAGTGCGTTGAGCTCGGCTGTTCCTGCGATTCCCAGCCCCCAACATGTGGAACGACGAGGATAACAACCCGTACGGCGCATTCGATAGCGAGGCAGGTCTTTCGGAATCGCTACACTCTGCAGCATTGTCACCTCGTAATACTTCCCTTCCGCATAGTCTAATTACGCAACTGACGCTTTCAGCTCTCTATGATCGCGAACACAGTCCGTCACCCTCCAGCCGATCGTCCAACCAGGATCCGCCCGATTACATTTCCCGACCGCAGGATCTGAGCGATGAGGATGAACCTGAAGGCTATGACGCCCAGCAGACGAGTCACGGTTATCCGCGAAAGAGCCATTACGATAGCCGTATAGAACAGATTCTCTACGAGAACCCGGACATGCCGATCCTCATCACGGACGCCGGAAAGAACCATGAGGGCGGCGGTAGTTTCATTGTATATACGATACGGACTGGAGTATGTGCCCCTTGGAGCGCATAGAGCTGAGATGCTCACGAAATCTAGGATCTGGAAGTCCGACGACGATACTCCGAGTTCGCTTCCTTGCGACAGACGCTGGTCAACCTTCATCCCACGCTCGTCATCCCCCCGATTCCGGAGAAGCATACAATGGCCGATTATGCTGCCAAGCCTACCAAAGCCAAGGAAGACTCCGCCATTATCGATTTGCGCAAACGGATGCTTGCCGTCTTCTTGAATAGGTGTCGCCGGATGAAGGAGGTTCGGGAAGATGGAGTATGGTGGAGATTCCTCGATCCGAACGTTAGCTGGGTATGTTGATAATATCTCGGTCATGCAGCCGCGCAAGCTCAAACTGACTTCATTCTAGAGTGAGGTTCTTCATTCCCACCCTGCATCGTCCGTGCCAAAGAATAACCTGAAGGCCCCTCCCCTCGACCCCGCTAACCCTACGGCTGCTCACTCCTGGCTTCCGGTTCCCTCGAGCTCCGCAAAGCTTAAATCGGCACCGAGCGGTGCTACTTCTGGCACTACGGAAGCCGCGGCCAGCGTACCTGGACCTGATGTGCTGGGCCGATTCCCGCCTGAATCGAAGAAACTGAGCGAACAGGATCTGGATCCATACTTCATCAATTTCGAAGCGTCTACGCGGGAACTCGAGCTACTTCTTCAAGGTAACATCGAAAAGGTCAACCGTCGCACGCTGGCGCATCTGTCGTCCCTGTCTGCGGATCTCATGGAGTTGGGCGCGCGGTACAACGGTTTCTCTTTATCTGAACAGTCTCCGACCGTCGCTGCGGCCATCGAGCGCATCGGTCAAGCGGCTGATACGTCCTACATTGCGACCGAGGAGTTGTCGTCCTCGCTAAGCGCAAGTTTCGCAGAGCCCATGAGGGAGAGCGCCCAGTTCGCCAGTGTCGTCCGCAGCGTGTTACGGTACCGAGTTCTCAAACGTGTGCAAGAAGAGATGACACGAGATGAGCTGGCCAAGAAGAAAACCTTACTGGACTCTCTAGAGAGAAGCGAGCTCGAAGCGAAACGTATCGAGCAGTATCTCAATCGTACCTCACCTCAATCTGCGCCGAACCGACCTCAACGTTCCTTGTCTGCCTCATCAGCAGCCAGTGGCGCTGGCAGCCGTGAGGGGGATGGGCGCTCTGCGGGTTCAGAAGACACAGCTTCTGCGGACTCCGATTTCCCACCTACCCATGGAGAGGCGATCAGCTCGCAGCCGCAGTCACACCACACCTCTCCCCCTCGGAGGCCTGAATTGGGGCCATCCGCTCCTCCTGCTCACCGCAAAACGTCAAGTGGCACGTTTGTAGCGAACAAGATATTTGGTCGCATCAGTCACGCGATACATGGCTTTGCCGACGTGGATCCCGAACGCACGCGACGAGACCAGATTGGAAAGACTAAGGAGAGCTTGATACAGGTTAGTTGCCAATTGACGTCTTGCATTGCTCAGCACTGATGCCCTTTCCCTACAGCTGGAACAAGCACTCGAGGTCTCCGAGAAGGATGTTAAGGACGCGAGTGCCGGAGTATTACAAGACTTGAAGCGGTTTCAGAAGGATAAGGAGGCCGATTTACGGCGATATATGGTAGGTTGTCCATTCGCGTCGACAGGCGACCATGCTGATTGTTGATAGGTCGCATATGCTCGCTGTCATCTGGACTGGGCGCGAAAGAACCTGGAGACTTGGACAGAGGCCAAGGATGAGGTGGACAAGATTGTCGCTCGATAGTCTGCACATACCGGTGTATTGTTTCGTTGATTCAAGAAGCCGCGGGGTCGTGACCCGGGGCGTTGGTGGTCGTGTTCAACTACATTGCCTTCATATATCGCAGCCTTAATCAGCACAGTGTGATACCACTATAGTACACTTCTGAGACTATAGGCCATTTTCGTTCTCGTCCAATAAATACCAATCAACCTTTGGTGTGTCTGCCTTTTCCCAGGATATCCTCTGGGGCGTTGGAGGGGGACAAACAGGGTATACGGAGTAAGTCAAATAGGTCGTAAGAAGCAAGGAGTATCCCGTCTTTGAGCATTGTCAATGCTGTCATTTATTTCGTGGACGAAGGATGCAGAGTGTACAAGTCGAGATGTTAGTTGTCATCACTGTTATGTTCCCAGTGCTGTGGGGCGATAAAATCCAGCGGAATGCTTGATTGACTACCTCAAGAACCTATCAGTGACCATAGTTCCTAGCACGAGGATTTGACCAGGGAGCCTAGAAAGGGTCCTTGTTAGTTAGAAGTCCGAGTTGATTTATCATCATCGCGAGCAGGAATTATTTAGATGGTTTACGTGAGAACTTGACCTACCCTCTTTCTGCAGCTGAGACCACTGTGGCTCATACATCCACTGTTACAATTTTTTTTCCCCTTTTGCGCCCATTTTACTGCCACTGGTCCGTCCTTGCATCAACATCATTCAGGATCGACCCTTTCTATGGATCAGGGACATCAAGGTACCGCTGCCACTACCAACGTAATGGTCCTGGCTTGAGAGCATAGCCCCTTGCTGTTGGTGGGTCGCTGATTGGTGCTATTGTCACCACTCATCGCTTGCTGTCATCATCAGCGACGTCTTTCGCCCTCCGAACCACTCACTCAGTGCTCATCACTTGAATCGGCCCAAAAGAAGGAGTGAAATCTTTCACCACCGACTAGGAGACTTTCCTGGCGATCCTGATCCGCAAGCCCTACATATCAAGGACTGAACATCTGTCCGCCTCCCTAGATGGTTATGTACTACATTGCCCCGTAGCAACTTGATCAGATGCTCCGCAATGATGAACTCCAGAGGCATACACTCCTGTCCAAGATGATTGCCAGGGCATCCGGTTTCTCAGCATGGCTTCTGCCGTCTTATACGTGGCCCGGAGGCCATCCTCCGTCATGGCTTGCCCCAATTTGGCCATCAGCCGCTCGTCGTCGTGTTATCAAAATGGCCGTACTGGTAGCTCTCTTCTGCCTTGTCACATGGGCACTATGTACTCGCATACCGCAGTATTCCACGCAGGGGACACAACAGCTGCAACAACCGGAAAAGACACCTCACCCTCATCCTCGGCCTGAAGACCCTTTCCCACCCACGCATGCGGCTGACTTTAAAATCCATGACCCGAGCATCATCCACGTCGATGGCACGTACTACTCGTACAGTGTGGGCAAGCATATTCGCATCCACCAGGCCCCCAGTCTCGACGGGCCGTGGAAACGCACCGGTACCGTCCTCGACGCGGACAGCGTGATCCCCAAGGGCGACCGGAAAGCCCCCTGGGCGCCGCAGACCGTCCACCACGGCGACACGTACTACTGCTTCTACGCCGTCAGTAACTCCGGATGCCGTGACAGTGCCATTGGCGTCGCCACATCCAAGTCCCCCGGTCCTGGCGGCTGGACGGACCACGGGCTGCTCGTGCAGTCCGGGACAGGGAAGGGCTCGGATGAACACCCGTTTGCTAGCTCCAATACCATCGACCCGAGTGTGTTCGTTGGAGAGGACGGTCACGGATACCTGATGTTCGGGAGCTTCTGGTCGGGCATCTGGCAGGTACCGCTAGACGAAACCCTGCTTTCGGTGGCAGGCGACACGAGATCCGAGGCACGACAGCTGGTGTATATGGAGAAGGCGCCGCTGCCGGCGAGCAAACATCCCAACCCGCTGTGCCGGGAGCCGTCGGGTGCCCGTCCCATTGAGGGAAGTTTTCTCTCATACCATGAGCCCTGGTATTATCTCTGGTTCAGTTACGGGAAGTGCTGCAAGTTCGATACGAAGAATCTACCACCTCCGGGAAGAGAGTAAGTGTTCTCTCTGCTGAATTGGCAATGCTGTTCCTGACATTGGCAACAGATATAGCATCCGAGTTGGTCGATCGAAGAGCCCCCGGGGGCCATTCGTCGATAAGCAAGGCAGGGACCTAGCTAACGGCGGCGGAGAGATCGTGTATGCCTCCAATCGCGACGTCTACGCACCAGGGGGGCAGGCAGTGTTGACGGAAAAGAGCGGTGACATCCTATACTATCATTACTGTAGGTACCCCGCCGTACAGAGACCGAGGTGATGCTGACCTTACAGTGAACAAATCTACAAGCTATGACTTTTGGGTATAAACATTCCATAATCTGGAGAGTCAATGACTAATGAGTCGCAGGAAGCTCGATTGGGATATAATCCATTGAAATACGTGGACGGCTGGCCTGTTCCCCAGTAGATGCAATGATCAAATCAGGATAGACTAGAGGATATACATAGATACGGCCTAGATCAGATACAAATAATGCGTAGTCTACAATAGAGCAAAGACTTCAAGATAGTCCAATAGAGAAACGCCTCCAGTCTAAGATATATACACCACATCTATACACCCTCAACCCTGGTTGCCCAGTCTATCTCTACCGACACAAAGCGCAAACATCACCCAATGAACGCCGGCATCTATCACCCACAACATGCCCATCTAAAGTACATCAACGCCCTCTTGTCTACCACCGTCTATTCCGACCTTAGCTCAAACTCACCCCTCTTCCACCCTGTTCCCTTCACCACGCTTGTCCGCACTCGACTCTCGCCCCCTCACCTTCCCACTATTCCCCTTCTTCGTCGTCCTCAACGGCGACAACAAAGGCGACGAAATAACCCTCACAGACACAGCCACACCACCCCCGCCGGCAGCACTCTCATCAACCGAACCCTGCCTCCCAGGAACAGCCAACGACGCCCCCTGTCCCCATTTCCCCTCTTCCCCCCGACAATCCCACTGCGCATGCTTCCCGTCACGCAGACGCAGCGGGCCCTCCTCCCCCTCAACCTCAAACTCAAGACTAGGGCCGAGATCCAGGACGCTGATCTCGCTATCGCTGAGGAGGAGACTCCTCCGTCGAGAAGGGTATTGGTGGGCGTCTAGTGCGTTGTTGGTGTTCCTGTTCTCGGTGTAGCCTGGCACTGCGACGTTTGTATTTGTGTTTGTGGTGTGGAGGCGGATGGTCGGTTGAGGATGAGGATGAGGAAGAGGTGTTGAGTCTTCGTCGAGTGATGCCGCTGCTCTTGGTTCCCGGGCCATTTTGCAGGGACTCGGAAGTAGTGGATGAGGTACTGATTGATGTCGAGGCGTTATAAGAGGAGAAGATGCGAGGAAGAAGCGCAGGTGTGTGGGGGAGGCTTAACTAGTAGAAGGACGGCGAGGGTGCAAATGAACAAAAAACATACAACTATGGGTAATTCTTGATCGTCCATGCGGTTGTAGTGCTTATTGTTTCAGGAGGAAAGAAGGACATTTTGGTTTGTCTGGGGAGTGGGTTGTAGCGGAAGGAACAGGTGAAGTATATATATAGTGGGAAGGATCAGATGATAAATCACGTCTTCCATGAGAATCTCACTCCTTGTGGATAAACAAAGAGTCTACGACGTTCTATGATTTCTTTGAGTTGGAAATAAATCTTAGATTAGAACTGTGACAAGTGGTGATGATGGTGAGGCTCTGAGCAGGTGACAGCTTCATCGGTCTCTGCTCGGTCATCTGATAGTCACTCGAGACATTGTCACTTCCCAGGTCTTACTTATGAACAAGTACTGTACTGCTGATTCCAGATGTTCTACCGTTTCCCAGAATATGAAAATATGATAAGAAAAAAAAAAAGGAAAGCCCTTTATGATGCAAAGCGGGAGGAAGAGATCCTCTACCGTCTGAGACAAAAATAACAATGCTTTTGAACACGGTGCTCACCCGATGCACCTTCATGACTCTTTGTAGACACAATGTAAATGCATGGATGGCTTGTATGGGCCACCCGAGGAAGTATTAAATCTAACACAGTGCCCTCAACACCCACTTCCAAACAATAATTATGTATAAACATCACGGATGGCCGACGGAAGAAAAAGCGACGCAGATATCGCTCCTCACCAGACATGAGAAAAATATGCTGGTTGTCGAACTTCATCGCAGTAGTCATCACACATGCAACAGCCGTATTTCTTTCGCGGTGATCGCCTCTGTAGTTGACCAAGCCGGCTTTTGCTCAGTCCGAGACGATCTGGTCATCATCATTCACCCGTAGCTCCACCACGGGTAAATCTTCACCGTCATCACCGTCTAGTGGCGGAGGGATGTCCTGAATCGGAGCTTCCTCCTCCATGGGCGTGCCTGGGAACACTCCCTGACCGATTGGGCTTCCGGTCAATGCGGCGAGGCGCAAGTCGGAGTCGCTGAGATCTCCGCCGCCCACCGCTTTGTTGCTGGCATCGTCGTCGAACAAATCCTCGTCATCAGAGATCGATCCCGGAGGTACTGTGGTCATCTGTGAAAGGCCATGAGCATCTGTGACTCGGTCGAAGGACCACGTGGGTTGGCTTGAGTAGGGGAGCGGGTTGGCATAGGCTCCATCGCCGAACTCGTCTTCATCAAAGCTCATACCTTCCAGTCGGTTTGCTTTCGCAAGGCTCTGCTCGCCAGCGGCTGGGCTGTCCGAATAGTCGGGGGGCGATTCATCATCGTCATCACTGTCCTCATTCCTCGCCCGGATTCCAGTTCGCAAACCACCATCTCCCGCTTGGTGAGCTGCTCCGACTCCGGCTAAGGCGCTCGACGACCCATTGCGGGAGGAGCCGCCGAGACGCCGCCCGTTCCCCGAAGGCGACTGCCCACGGGACCCAGCCGGGGAGTTGTCCTCGCTGGCTGGTCGAGTTGAAGTTGACGACTCGGTGATTTCTTCCAAGATCTTTCCGCCCAGCGGGCGGTCTGAACGTCGACGGTAAAACAATAAATACGCGGCGGGAGTCACCACACTCTGGGGATCAATTGGTCGTGAGACAGACGAATCTATCAGTTCCCGTCAGCAAACACGGTTATCCTTGAAGGAACGCGGTCATAGAAAGCTCTTACCATTGTACTCGTTCCATTCGCCACTCATAAAGTTCTTCGCGTAGGCCGTATAGTGACCGCCTCCTAATCCACCGTAGTGATTATCAACCGCGAAAAGATCATAGATTAGGCTCTTTCCCTCTTCCGGCGATTCGACACGGCCGCTCATGTCTAGCCCTTCAACGGGGAAGTCGACCAGGACATCCAGCTTGTCCCTGAAACCCCTGCTGGCGCTGAATCTCTTCAGGTGCATGACAAGGATGTCGGGGGTCTTCCACAATTCGAATTTCTTGCTGGCTCTGCGATGCTCCTTGCAGCGGGGGCAGTACCATGCATCATTCTCGGAAAGAATCTCCTCTTTGTTGAACTCGTCAAGACATTCGTAGAGTGTAACGCCCCTCTTCTTCCGGCTCCGGCGAAGATCACGGCGTTTGGCGAGTTCCGGATCAGGAATGCGCTCCACGTTGGTCCATGTAGGAGATCCACGTAGCCCGTCAGTGTCCTTCTTATCCCCACCAAATAGGGCATCGTGGGCTTGATCGTTCCAATCCAGCACGATACCTTCCCCCGGGCGGATCAGAGGACGCTCGTCGGTTTGAGTCTTGACAGCCTTAGGGCGACTGATGTTGGAGAACATGTCAGAGTCACTGTCAGAAGCACTGCCGGCGCTTCCATCCTGATCCGAGTCATCACTGGTTTTTCGGTCGGTCACTGTACCGGATGTTGTCTGCGAATTTTACACCGCTGTCAGTCTGCCTGTCTTCTTTGATAAATATATTTTGCGGCTGCTTACCTTCTGTTTGCTAGCCGACTGTGCCTTGACCCTGGACGACATCAATGGATAGTCTTTGATATCGTCCACTGAAGACCAGCCGAGAGGCACAACCTCGTGGGACGATTTGATAATCTTCATGTCGAAGAGGCTCCGAAGACCAGGTGCAATAGAGCTGCCAGGGCTCGAGTCAGCATTTTCACACTTGATGTCTTGAGGAGATGGAGTATCCGCCTCGTCCGAAGCGTCGCGCATGGAAACGTCCACCAAGCCATCCTCACCGTCCACGGATGAGGTCTTGATTTTAGAATCTGCAGAATGCGCGTCGTCTTCATTCATCACAACGGTATCCGAATCTTCTTGAGTTCCCCCTTGCTCGTCAGCTTTCTTGATGTTCGCCTCATTGAGAATGTCTCGCGTTGTCAACGTGGCAACAGCTTCAAGAACTTTGCGGAGGATGGCATCGTAGTTTTGAGCCTCTTCTCTGCTGATGATTACATACAAAGGAGCGCCGAAGAGTGACCTCTGCATATTCCCGCTGTTATTTGACTTTGGCCGGCAATGCCGATTGAAGATGGGCACTAGCATTCGGTCTGCCTTGGGTGAGTCAAAGCTTGGAATTTCTTCATAGTCTGAACGACCATAAGAAAAGTAACTCTTCTGGCGCTTGTCGGGATTATAGTTGGTGGGAACAGACTCAACCTCGAAGATTGCGATATCATCGCCTTGGCCGATCTGGCAATCAGCAATGGACGCAGAGTTGTCGAACATCTTGTAGAACTTGCACTTGTAGATTTCGGCCATGACGAGACGCTGAGGATCCGAGCCCATCTTCTTGGCTACTAACTCCTTGAGCGCCTTGATGCTGGCGTTTTTATCAATTTCCACGTCAACGATGACAGGCTTGCGGTGGAGAGGGAAAAAGAAGATCTCCTTGCTCCAAAGATTTTCGATCGGAAGCTGAAGCGTCAGGTTGTTGAATGGATCAAAGATGATGCTGACCTTCTCGCAGACAGGACAGACAAGAGTTGACTTGTACATGCCGGCAAAGAGATCCGTGATGACCGAGTCATTGCGGGCTTTGTAAATGTCCCAGCATTTATTGGCAAACTCTTTGAGAGCCTCCTTGTCATGGACCATGTCGTCCGTGGAGTCTGGCTTCTCGATATATGGCTTCTTCTGGATTCTGTTCAAATCTTCTTGCAGCCCATCAAGCAGGAACAGCAGAAATTCCTGCGAATCCTGTTGCCCGTATCCCGAGAATGCTGGACCATAACGACCAATGGTGTGTTTAAACTGGCGGGGAGCGAACGACGACTGACCCGCTTCGTCGTAGAGCATGCGAAGAAGGTTTGCGTACGCCTTGGCTATATCGCCGTTATGGGCGAGAGGATTACTGGGGTTGAGATCTCTCTTATACACATCGTCTACCGAAATTGGTTAGTGAGATAATAGCCACGGGCCAAAGGGAAAAGGTGAGAGTCCGTACTCAGGAAGTAGTATGTGAGTTCCTCCACACTGCGCACGCACTGTAGAGCAGAGTTCATGTAGCAGGTATTTCCGAGGTTGCTCAATCCCGTGCAGCCCCTGGGCTTTCCGTCTTTACGCCGGCCCCTAATAGGTTCTGGAGCGGGAGATGATCTACCACTGTTGGTAGGACTCTTGTTCTTGAGCTTGGCAGGAGCGCCATTCTTCACACTGCCACTCGGAACACCTAGTCGATCGAGCGTCTTCTTGGATGCTTCTGAAGCCCACTCTCCACCAACGCGCTCCTCAAGCACCACAACATCACTGGTAGACAAGCCAACTCGATCCAAGGTAGATCGACCGTTGAAATTGGGATTATTGGTTTGATCCTTGACGTTATCGACCAGTTCTCGCTGAGCGCCGTCCGATAATGAGAGGAACGTATTGAGGTCAAGCACAAGGTTGTTGCCGGCATTGGCAACCAGGGAGGCCGTAGGTGCCGGAGAAGCGCTCCGTGACGCAGCGGGTGTGATTGCAGCCGATGCCGTGGCACTTCCCAGTCCCCCAAGGATCCTCCACACACGAACTTTGGTAGACATGTCAATATTGGCCAGTCCCTTCACTTGCTTCAGCCACTTTTGGAAGTTGGTGTGTCGGCTGGACAAGACCTTTGCAGGTGACATATTCTTCTCTCTTAGACTCTGTGGAGTGGTCCCCGCGGCCGGGTTTGCTAGCTTCAGAACGGTGAAGATTGGTGGATGGAGCTCGTATTGAATATTTTGAGCATCACCTTCCTCCACGGTGT